GTTTTTTGGGGGGGGTCGGGGGGTTGGATTTTGTTTGGGGGGAGGGAGTGGTGTTTTGAAGGAGATGTACATGTGAGTCAAAGATACCTACTGCTGATGCTGAAGAAAGATAGTGATAACATACTGGTATTTCTAAACCAAACAGCTGAATTCTTTTTTGAGGATGAAAAACATGAAAAAAATAAGAGAAGAGGTATCATTTTAAAGGTAAAAAAAGCAAAGGCTGCTTCTTGGAAACGAGCTATGAGTGATGCTAAGCACTCCAGCGTCCTGCCGGCTTCAGTGAGAGTTTCAAGGGTCAAATTCATCACACTGGATTTGGCCCTGGAGTTTTGGGTGGAAAAAGGATACTGCGATTATGACGTTCATTAAAGTGTGGTTGTTGACTTTAATAAACGTGAGATGACTATATAAAGGAAGGAATTTTAAATGCATTCATACTTCTCTGAATTATAGCCAGATACTTTGCACTTGTTCTTTCCGTTTACCAGCTGCACTTTTCACAACATCATACTAGTACAATGCAGCTATTGGGTAAAATGCAGTCTTCAATGTTTAGTTTATTGGGAAGTGATGCGCTTGGGTTTTTTTATCCTTCTATTTTGAAGACAGTAAAAGGGTCGGACAAAATAGAAGAAAGTCTTCCACAAAAAAAAATGTTCCTGTTGTTTGTCTTGCTCAGTTGCCTTCTTTTTCTACCTGCTTCTTTCTGTCTGACTGCAGCATGACACCAGTGAGTAGAAAACCGATCATTTGCAGGTTTCTCTGCTGCTGAAATTAGCTAGCAATCCACTACAAAACCAGCGGCAGCTTTAGCTTTGTGTACCCTTAGTTTATCATAAATGAAAATGCTGTATTTTGCCCTTGATCTCAAAACTCAGTCTGATTTTGATTTTCTTTTTTTTCCCCCCTCTAAATTTGTCATTCATGTATTTGGCATCTGTAGCTTTTCTTGCCCTGCAGTGAGCTCTCAGGAATGAACTTGGAACAAAAGAAAAAAATTTCACAACAGTTCTACTTCTCATTAGCTTATTAATGTAGTTCTCCTATATGTGTCTGCAAAACCATGCTTAATTCTTCATTAGTTTATTTTAAATTATCTATTAATAGAGCCAATAACTAATCAACCTCTACTGCTTGACAGTGTTCTCTGCATAAGAAATTGCCTGGTTTTGTAGAGGACAAAAGACTAATCAGGAATCAAATAGAAAAACTCAGAAGGCCTTCAAGGAGAGTTTTTGCCTCTCTTCTATGTATATTTGCATTGACTATTTTATTTATTCTCAGATTAGTTAATTATTTTTAGACTAGCAATCCGATTTCATCTGGAGGTGTATATTTTACTGAAGTTAAACTGCTTTACTTAAATTCCTATTTCCTGGATCAGCCATTTGATCAAAGATGAGTTCTCTCAAACAATACTGGGTTTTTTTCTCTGAATAAGGAATGTGAATTTTCCACTTGAGAGTTTACGATGTACAGTGACATTTGTTGTGCATGGTAGTGGAGTGTTTAGTAGCTTGCGGGCAAAAAACAGTAGTGACTGAAAAATGCATCATTTCATATTGCTTGTTCCTCGTTTGCTGTAATGACTGTTGTATATTTGTAATTAAGCGAGGATTTCAGAATTAAAGAGTTTGTCCTCAGTGCAAGGATGTGCCCGTGTAGCTCGTAGTTATTTTCGTTTACAAACCTACAGATTTCACAGTGTTTGCAGTGCGAATTGCTGCAAGGATAGCAGTCTTTAAGGAGTAGTCTTTAAAGGCTCTCAGTCCTGCTGCTTGCGGCTGTAAATCCCCCAGTGCTGCTCCGCGCTGGCTCTCCTTCCAGCTCATGCGGCACAACCCCCAGGTAGGAGATTTAAAGCAACATCCTTTGGAAAACTTCTGCTGGGAAAGCCTCGCACAGAGAGAGAGCGCGATCGCTGCAGCCCTTAGAAAGCATTTTGGTTGTACGGAGGGATGCCTCATTTACTTAAGTTCTGTTCTCTGCCATGGCTTGGAAAAATAGACGGGTATCTGTTTTTGCTAACCTTTCACGCTTTTGTCCTTGGTACCCGCTGGTGTAGGTGACTTCTTCTCTCTTCTCCCTTTGTAGCAATATTAAAGACATCCACTCGGTGCTTGAAGTGACAGTTTATGATGAAGACCGCGATCGGAGTGCTGACTTTCTAGGCAAAGTTGCCATACCGTTGCTGTCTGTAAGTTTCATTCACCTGACATACCGCTCTGAATTTTTCCTGCTTAAGGGAGGCGGGAAGTAAAAAAAAAAAAAAAAAGAAAAAAAAGATTTGCAGCTCTGTGTCTGTCATTTCTCAACCAAGGTCTGTAATAAGAACACTAAAATTTTAACATACTCAATTCACGGCCATGTTGAATCCCATGATAGTTAATTTTTCCTGACAGACTCGGTCCTGGTAATGAACAGGTACTTGTCAGACTTGCCACAGTTGTTTTGGGTTCTCTGTCAGTTTCAGCAGCTGGGGGTCAGGGGTCACTGGGGGGGTGTATTCAGCGGAGACTGCGAGACAGACGGCTGTCATGTCCTTTTCCTGCAGATTCAAAATGGTGAACAGAAAGCCTACGTCTTGAAAAACAAGCAGCTGACAGGGCCAACAAAGGGGGTCATCTATCTTGAAATAGATGTGATTTTTAATGCTGTAAGTCTTAACTTTGGCTTTTTTGTACTGCTAAAGAGTTCAGTTTCATGAAAGCTTTTGTTCCTGATTTGTAGAGAATTTCTGTCATTCCTCATTTTCTCTAAACCTCGATGTGTACTACAGAATACTCTTCTGCCACTGCCTGGCACACCCACTCTTTTTGTTGCTGCTGCCGCTGCTATTGCTGCTAATGTAAGGAGCAGCAACTCATGCCTCTGTGTACGTTTATGTGTCGCGGGCTTGGCAGCCATGACATTGAAACTTCATAATTTTTGCAAATTGAAGCATGTGTTATTAGTAAGGAGCAAATAAGCTTGAAATATTGACACACGTTTTAATGCATAGGTGAAAGCCAGCATACGAACCTTAATGCCCAAAGAACAGAAGTACATTGAAGAGGAAGACAGACTGTCTAAACAGGTAAAGAGTAAGGAAACACTAATCCTTTCCGAAAGCCTTAATATCAAGTGTGCACATCCAAATATCTGGTATCGTACTGCTGAGGGTAAAGAATAACATTTTCATTACCTGTTTACAAAAGAATATGATAGGTTGGAAAAGGCAGAAACAAAATACATGGGTTTATTGTGTCTCCTCTATAAATTGCAGCTTAATTTCCATGAAATACGTGAATAAGAACACAGTTGAAACCATCAGGTTCCACACATATCAGATTATAGCACAGGTGCATGTAAACTAAGTCTTGCATAAATTTTTGCTGTTAACCTTGACCCGAAAGAGGAAGTAATGTTGCAGGGTAGAGAGTCTTAGAGAGTCTTTCAGCATTCTTTTAGCCAAGTTTTAAATAAGTTAGTTGAGTAAGGTTTGAGTCAAAGGTGAAAGCAGACTAAACCTCTTTATTACTTTGCAGAGTCCTGTGGGTAGGAAATGTCTGGACCCTGTTTCTTATCTCTCTGGACATTTTTGCGACACACAGTTTTAATGTTTTAGTAAGAAATATTTGAACACACATCTTCTCTTTTTCTCCACTTGAACTACTTTTGATTCAGTTTTTCATGTTCCACAGATGGTGTATTTTATGTGGAGAGAACTGTGCTTTTGGTCAGACTGTGGGAAAAAGATTTTTGTTGTTTGTGATGAAAAAGCAAAGATCTCAAAACTGGTTTTTATTTTGCTGAAAGCTTACAGACATGAGCAAAATTTAAATTGTCCGCTGGATGAATTTTATATCAGTTGTATGATGTATTTCATTAAAAAAGATTTCAAGAGGCAAAATATTTCTTTCTTCACTGTTGTGAGTAATGCAGTTACTAAAGCTGCATTTTGCACTGCTGTTCCAGAGAACGAGCAGCAAGGCCTTGTATTCAAGATTAATTCTTCTCCCTACTTTCATAACAGAAACTGTGATTTTTGCAGATGGTGAGAGGAGCAAACTTTACCCACGAGCTTGCATGAGATACCCCACCACAATACCAGTTAGAGTAGGAAAAAAAAAAAGAAATCTTTATGTATGACTGATGCAATTGCATTTTTAAAAAATCCACATTTTCCGAGAGTGATCAGGTCTTACCTACTGAGCATTTTCTGTGCTACTTAATGCACAAATTAAATCATTCACTAGTCTGTTCTCTTGTTTTTGGTCAAGTGTATTGCCATTTTAGAGGATTTAAGGGTATTGTCCTGAATCAAAACCCTGCTGTTATGTCTCATCTCTGTATAGATTGAATGTATGCAGTTAAAGTTACTTTGATATATACTTAAAACCATGTGGTCAAAATACATCACAGCAGACAAATGAAGGAAAAATTGGATGTAAAGGGTGCAGGTGGTCTTAATTAGATTAGAGCAGTAATTTTGCATTATTTCAGGTTAGTGTCCTGCAGTATCTTTTTATTAAGAAAGGCAAAATTTGTTAAGTACTTGAGAATGGGGACAGTCTTGCGTACTGCATAAAACTCTGAAATCTTAATAATGAAACAGTTCATGAAATTTTGCAAGTGGCTTTTTAAAATTGAACAATTTGTGTACCATTTAGAATTAAATTCAACAAATATCGGTTGACAAAACTAACAAATTCTCTCTCTTCCAAGTCTCTCATTTTAAACTACCTTTCTCTGTTTGTGAGCTAGGGAGCTTAATGTATTATTTCCTCAGTCTTAACTCAAATTAAGAATGACATTGTTGTAAGCATGAGCCTGTTCTGAAGCTTTTGAGGTTTTGAAACATTTTCATTCTTTCATCTTTTGAACAGCTACTGTTAAGAAACTTTATACGGATGAAGCGTTGTATCATAGTGCTCATAAATGCCGCCTACTACATCAGCAGTTGCTTTGACTGGGATTCTCCCCCAAGAAGTCTCGCTGCTTTTTTGGTATGATCTTCTTTATATTATTGTTAATCACCCTCGTGTATTTGTTTTCTATTTGGAGAGATAATGCAGTGTTGATGTAGGGGTTTCCTTTTTTAATTTGTTTAAAACTTTGCATTATGAGGATACTGCAAATATGTGTTTATTTACTTTCTTAAAAAAAAACAAACCTAGGTTTAAAATGTCACACAAACAAGATAGAAAGTTATTTTTTTCCTTTATAATTGTACAAATAAAAAGCGAGTGATATAACTCAAAATACATGCAGTGAACTATGGATGAGACATCTTCTCACACATCACTTCTGTTAAATCTTGTTTCTCCCCCTTGTATATTGCATATTTACTCTAAAACTTGTTTTGAATATTTCATTAATTCTTTTACATACCATGAATATAAAATTATTTTATCTTCCACATATCAATACATGTTAGGCTTGTAACTATTTTAGAAGTAGAAAGCCTTGGACCCAAATAGTTGCTTCCTTACTAAGATTTAGTGTTCTTGGTTAAAAAAACAGAACAAAATAAAACAAAACCAACTTTAAAATCATTAATGCAAACAAAACTAGCACCTTTTAGGCATCAAACTCTGATCATAGTTCAGTTTTTAGTAAATTTGTTTTTACTGGTTTAAATGAAACTGCTATTTGTTCATAAACATTAGTTTTGTTAATATTAACCTTTGTTTTGCTGTTAGACTTCGAAAATTCCAAGCATAATTGTAGATTACACTGTGTTTCCCAGATGAATACATTTTTATTTTCACAATCATATGAGCTACAAACAGGACTAGAGTCTCTGTTTGTTTTTTGCCTGAGAGAGACCACCAGGAGTAAAAAAGTATGCATGGACATACTTTCTGGAATATCTGAATATATTAAGTTGGCTGAAATACTGAAGTTACGAGCCTCTTCACCATGAATATGAACAGGGAATGGTTTTGGTCTTACTTTGAGTAACTATAGAGGGAGTCTGGTGACTGTGCTCCTAGCTTGGGTGCTGGAAGCTCAAGTGCCACAAATTTGGAGAAATCAAACCAGGCGTTGGCTCTGGCTGCACTGGAGCAGTAAAACGGGGTACTTTGGTGTATCACTAAATCATACTGTTTTGCAGGAAGTTTCTTCTAGCAGGGCTCCATTTGTGCTATGTGACTTGTTAAACCCCCCTGTAGCCTGTCAAAGGATGGCAGCACACTGTGGGTCCTTGGTTGCAATGTTCATCAGGAGTACAGGAGATACATGTGCTGTTCAAACACTCAGGATTTTTCTGCTTTTACTGATGTCTGTAGTAACTACACTATGTGCAAAAATCCAAATATATTTGCTACTGTTTACTTTAGAAAGTTGATCTGTCATTTCAGTTTGAAATGTTCAAAATTTCATAGTAAAATGCAGGTTTCTACATAAAACTCAAGTCCGTGTTGCTGTTGCTGCTCCAGTTAGTAAGTACTCATCTGTATGATTTTAGTATGGATATGGAACACCCACCTGTCACCAGTGGAAGAAAGAGAAGTGGAAAGACATCCTATTCTTTGGGGCAAATGAAATTATTTCTTTCTTATAACGCACTGCTCTGGCCATGGAAGAAGTTGTGTGACTGTTAAATTGTAATTCCTTCCAATCACAGAAGAAATTCAGTGTCATAGTAAGCTGTTCGAAATACATAAAACACAGAATTTGAGCAGGGAGGTCTTTGGTCACTCTATGCCATTGTAGTTACAACGTATCACAGTAGAAACGTGTTCTTGATTTTAATTTTTTTATATATATTCATATTTTTATATATATAAAAAAATATCTCAAAAGCCTAGTTTTCTTAGTTTCCTGTTAGTATTTGTTTTGCTATGTGGTGGTCGTGGTGGTTATGGATATTATTATATCTGCATTAGTGCTGTGACTTAACAGATGTGTTCCTACTCTGCATCCAAAGTGCATCCTGTGCTTTTCAACCTGATCTTATTCTCTCCAAGGACCAAATCATCACTGTTGGGCAAAAAATGGATAAGTTTTTGCTAGCCAAGTAAAGTCTACATGAACGTCCATCGTGATCGTAAGTTTTGGATTTAGGTGGTTTCTGGAGTTTCATAGACCTCCTAGGCCCTTGAAAAATCTTGAGGAGTTGTCCACTTGCACATGTAATGCTGAATTATGCTTGCACTAAGGTTACAGTTGAATTTAATAGTCTATAAAAAAGCTGTATTTATATGTATCACTTTCATCTCTTCACTATTACAAAAATCGTATCTCCTCTTGAAGTTGTCTCCCAGAGGTTAGAGCATGTCACAGTGAAATGTCAGTGCCAGAAAGGAGATGAGAAATAGGCCGTTCTGGAGGTTTCCAGCTCTGTAGGCAGACTAATAAATAATGTAGGAGAAGTAAACTTTAAAACTAAGCATTTCTTCCTTCCTGTTGGATTTGAAGACGTACCTTGATGAATAACATCCCCATACAGATTTACAGCCATTTCACCTAAGTTGCATATGTGAAGCTTGATTTTTCCCATTGCCTCAAGTTCTTGGCGTTACAACTGCAGAAACCCTTGTCTCGTACCTCACCCTGTGTCTTTAGTTTCTGATGAGGCTACTGTTGTGGAAGACCATAGCTGAAGAAATTCTGGCAGACTAGCTCAGTTTCCAGAAATGTTGTAATTAACGAGAGAGGTCTGGAAAGGAGGACTGCTATTGGAAACTCACAGAAAGCCTTGGTTAATACGGTGACTGTATCATGAGCTACAGTTACCTGCTTTGTGCTCTTTGCACGCTGAGGTGTTCACTGCAGCTCTTTTTAAAGTCATTCTACTTGAGTAGTCAAGATGTTAGTCATCAAGACTAAAAGTGTTCATTGAAGGGGCTTGCTGATTATTTATTCTCCAGAACTTAGCTATCTCAAACCTTTACATTATTTGGGACATTTTAGGAAGAGAAATGCTTTATTAAAGGTTTAGGATGATTGTTTCTTAAATCTGACCAAAGGCACCGGCTCAATGCCCAGTGTTGCCCATGCTGTATCTGGAAGTACAGAAACCTAAAAGTTAAGTTTTCAACATTCTGGATTATGCATTTCCTCAACTAAACAATATTTTACCTGTTTCTGTTGCACTTCATAAGCTCATCGTCTTCACTGGGGATTTTGTCTGAATGACTTAAGGTTTTGACTCCATTTTTTTTTTTTCTGTGCCTCAGTAATTCACAGCAAAAGAATAATTGCTACTCAGACATAATTTTTTATATTTTCATGCTAATATAAGCGTGACATATTATTAGCTGTTATTCTTCAGATATTCAAAGATATTTGTAAATAGTTCATGAAACATCAGTTGATCTGGCTAGACTATGACTTTGGATTTGAACCATCAGAAGAACTGCTATTTTTCCTCCTTTTTCACATTTATTTCCTGTTAAATAAAGGAAATATATAGCAACAGTGCTAAATTAATGTTTCAGTTCCAGAACAGCTTTTTTATATCACATATAGCCCTGTTATGTCTAGAGGCTGATTGAGAATATGTTACGTGAGAGTACCTTTGCTGTAAATTCATGCGATTTTCTGTATTTAAAACAGACTCTTGGATTATTTAGCAATTAATTTTTATATTTTTTAAATTCAGTAATTAATATGGTATGTTTCAGGCAGGAGAACTTTATTAGCGTATGCAAAAGTGGATGTTTTTTCTTTAGATTAGTCTACTGTGGGCACTGAAATGTCTACTAAATTGGGCCTAATTTCCATCAGCTTCTTGACCAGACATTTGTGTTCTTGCAGATGTCACTGGGTGCAATGTACGGGGAAAAAGTGTACTCTTTTTTTCCAATACTGTCATTTCTCACTGTAATGAGCACAAAAATAATTGGACAACTGAGCTATCGGTAAAAGGACACACTTCAGCGTGAGTCAATGAATTATTTTACGGGACAAACTTTAATCTTTAAATGTGATTGTAGATAATTTGTGCTACCATCTGTCCATTTGGAATTCTTTTAGCCTTTTCAGTTGTTATACAGTAAGTGCTGCTGTGTTTAACATTAACATTTGATATTTTACACATTTAATTTCTGTACTGCTGCGTGGTCCGTGGGGAGCTTCGCTCTAGTGCTACATGAGAGAGACAAAGTATTGATCAGTTAACATTTCAGCTACATTTATGTGTGTCGCAAAATTAATGAAAATGCCAGACAAAAATGTCAGAGTGCACAAAAAGGTAGAATTTAAATTTGGTAGTTTAATGAAAAGTTTAAGATGTGCATTATCAAAAATGTCCCCTTGCCTTTAAAGTACAATTCATAACTGAGTAACTAAAGGGAACCACATTTTTTACTTAGAGGAACATTGAACATGAAATATGAGGGAATATATAATCTTCAAAGTGTTTGGTATCCCAAAATGGCCTCAGTAAAGCACTTTAATTGCCTGCTTGAACATTTAACTGTTACTCATAAAATAAACTTGTTTCCTCTCTCGTTTGGAAGTAAAGTACCCTCACCCAATCATATGCATACTTTTCAGTATGTCCTCAAAGCTTTCTATGAACACGTTCTCCTATTCCTGTTCTTATTCCTCTGAATCTTTCTATACATGTGTATGCATGCACACAGAAAATACTTTTCCTTCTTAGGCTTTGAGATATTGATAAAACGACTCGCTCTGCATCCAAGTCATTTGTCAGGTCTGACTCACCTTTGCTTTGTGTTCTAACGTTACACAATTCATGTGTGAAAATGACATAATAGTGTCCCTAGCCTTTGATTAAGTGTTCGGTCTCTTGCACATGCACCATTTAGTCGTGGTGGTGTCATGCTAATTATTTGAAATTGAGAAGGAAACAGGAGAAAAAAGAGCTAGTCCGTAGCAGGAAATGAGACAGTAAAGTAATTTTGTCAACTTGCTTAGCTTTTCCCTATTGAAAAGGGAAATGATCACTACTGTGTATTTCAGAAACAACCTTCACTCAGAGCTGAAGGACAGGGATTATGTTTTGGGAGAGACTTGATACGGTACCATCAGG